AACAAAGACTTTCTGTAGGAGATAGCTGAACTGCAGTGATCTCAGTTTAAGGCTGTTTTGTGAGAAGATCTTTTCCCTAAACATCAAAACTTCTGACCTGCAGTGTGGCTGAAATGCTAAATGTTTTTCCAGCATCATTGGTAATTTAGTGATTTAAATGTATTGAAATATTGCATTTTGTCTCATCCAGAGTGTCACTGGTTTTGGAAGACAGATGATTGAGCAAACCAAGCAGCTGGTGGAGTCTAAGTACACACTTTCCAATGGCTACCAGGCTGACGCCAGGGTGAGCCCAGTTATGAAGCAATCTCTTATTCCTTGATAATCTGATGTATCAAAAACACTTGACACGTTATAGGTTTTGTTTTTTCATTTTTATTTTGTCCTGTTCAGGTAATTTATGGAGACACGGACTCTGTCATGGTAAAGCTCGGAGTTGCAACAGTAAAAGAGGCCATGGATATCGGGAGAGAGGCGGCCGAGTGGGTATCATCCCATTTCACACCACCCATCAAACTGGAGTTTGAGAAGGTACCGTTTCAGTCCAGAAATGTCTTCTCCGACTTCTCTACATGTGCACTGCTTAAAACACTTGATCTCGATATTTTTGTCCTGTTAGGACAGATAAGCCATTGTGAAACAGTTTCAGCTGTTTTGGTGCAAATGAAAGTGACAACTAGTGCATGCCAAAGGCAACAACAAGACAACCCCCAAAAAGAGAAGTGGTTTTTCCAGGTGGTGGTCACGGTCTCTCCTCTTTCCTCCTGACTGGTTTTACAGTCTGTTACACAAAGCACACATAGAAGATTCTGAGCCCAACAGCAGCACTGCCATCTGCTCCTGGTCATGGAGGAACAGGCTTCATTACCATGGTATAACGGTCTGACAGCTTTTACTGTGACCTTTGCATATAGCCCAGCGGCGTGCAGCTTGAGTGGTATTTGCCGGGGAATGACAGAACTGGCAGATCCAAAAACGGCTGAAGAAGCTGAAGTTGCTCCAGCAACATTTGTAGTATGAAGAACAACTTCATTCTTTGACCAGTGTGTTTTGGCCTGTAGACTTCATCAGGATCATCAAAAATACATCACAGACAGCACTTCAAAATAGCATGTAGGAAAACTGAT